ATGTATACCTAAATGTGTATTATATTTATATATATATATACGTGTATAGATGTATATTTATTTTTTCTCCAAAGAGTAATATATAATATAAATACATACATTTATAAATACAGACATATTTTATGAATGGTTCTCTTTAAGATGATAAAAAATTAGATTCAAGATTCAAGCCCTTTGAAGAACAATTTTTATATTGTATATAATTACAATTATGCAAACATATCTCATCGCAACGCCATTGAGAAATTGTGAATTACAAACTAAATGCTTGAATCATAAATTATATATGTAGGCATAATAGTAAATTCTTTAATTTCCAATTTTCTTATTGTTTCTTTTGAAACTTGAGTATTATAATTATAAATAGATTGTACTTGTTTAATCAGAGATGTCGAGACATCTCTGATTAAAAAAGTACAATCTGTTTATAATTATACAGTGTGATGACACAAGATTGTCGTGTGAATGTCTGTTCGGTAGCGTATAATAGTATTCTTTTGTTAAAGGATTTTCGCAAAGATAACGCTTGTCTAAATTGATACCTACCTAGTAATGTACCTAGTAATGTAATTTAATAATTAACGCTTAACTTTAATATTAATTAATTAATATAATATATTAAGGCTAGCTAATTAATTTATTTGATTAGCATTCTATATATGTATAGCTATGCTCCATCGCGAATATATGCAAAGAACGATTTAGTTGCGATCAAATCGCAACTATATTTTATTATATATATATTAATAACTTGTGCATTATACATATATAATAAATAAGTATAAGTGACAGTGTACAAATTCATTATCATTTATCAAATTATACCATTTCGTTTTTTTATATCAAAATGATTTATTTATTACTTTAAGTAATACACATATATCATCATCTAATGATTTATTTTTTTAAGTAATACACATACATCATAATCTAGTTATGATAAAAAATTATAAATCTACTATTTAGATACTCTACTTATAAATTTGAATAGATGGAATAATTGAAAAATATCTTTTATTTATTATATATATATATATATATATATATACATAGTAAGTACAGTCTTGTATTATCGACCAAACTAATTATCGACCAAAACAAAA